CTGTGGGTCCTGCCGGCGGCGGGGGTGGGCTGCGCCCGGCGAGACGCTCCGACGGTGCCCGCGGGTCCCGCCATGGCGGCGGACTCGGAGGTGCTGCACTTCCAGTTCGAGCAGCAGGGCGATGCCGTGCTGCAAAAAATGAACCTCCTGCGGCAGCAGAACCTCTTCTGCGACGTGTCCATCTACATCAACGACACCGAGTTCCAGGGACACAAGGTGATCTTCGCCGCCTGCTCCACCTTCATGCGGGATCAGTTCCTGCTCAACCAGTCCAGGCAGGTGCGGATCACCATCCTGCAGAGCGCCGAGGTGGGCAGGAAGCTGCTGCTGTCCTGCTACACGGGCGCGCTGGAAGTCAAGAAGAAGGAGCTGCTGAAGTACCTGACGGCCGCGAGTTACCTGCAGATGGTTCACATTGTGGAGAAGTGCACCGAGGCTTTGTCCAAGTACTTGGAGATCGACGCTTCTATGGAGAGCGGTACCCAGGCTGCTGAGGGGTGCCACTCCTCGGATGCTGAACTAAGGAGCGGCGATGAGGTTTTAGAAAAAGACTGTGAAATAATCGAGATCTCTGAAGACAGCCCAGAGAATGAAGAATACCCCGTGAAACAGGAGGATGGGGATGGCCCGCACCCTGCAGCACAGAGCTTGATATCGGAAAGGAATGACACAAAATCTCCAGAAATATCAACAGTGGAAATTGGGTACAAGGATGATGAAATCTGTATCTTCAGAATGGATTCCATGAGTGTGGCAAATGTAGAAAATGATCATTTTCCTCAGCCTTGCACTTCCTCTAAAACAAATTTATATTTCCCAGAAACTCAGCACTCCTTGATAAACTCTACAGTTGAAAGCAGGAATACAGAAATGTCAGGAAATCACTTTCAGGCTTTTGTTGGTGACAATCCAGAAGGAACTTCTAGTGGGGTGAATGGGTTCCAGAGCATGGAGGATTCTGGCAGCTCATGGCGACACCAGTGTCCAAAGTGTCCGAGGGGCTTTCTGCACCTCGAGAACTATCTCAGACATCTGAAAATGCACAAACTCTTCCTGTGTTTGCAATGTGGCAAAACATTTACACAAAAAAAGAATCTCAACAGGCACATCCGGGGGCACATGGGGATCCGGCCCTTCCAGTGCATGGTGTGCTTGAAGACCTTCACAGCCAAGAGCACACTCCAGGATCACCTCAACATCCACAGCGGGGACAGGCCCTACAAGTGCCACTGCTGCGACATGGACTTTAAACACAAGTCTGCTCTTAAAAAGCATTTGACTTCTGTTCATGGGAGGAGCAGCAGCGAAAAGCCAAACCTGAACACTATTACGAAAGTTAAAATAGACTATGATTGATAGCTGGGCAGTTGTGGAGTCAGACTCCACAAAAAGCTCCTGGCTAGTGAAATTCTAGATGCAATTCCAGTTCCAGATCCCCATCTAAGGGAGAGAAGCACAAACAGGTGGCTGGTGATCCAAGACCAAGGCCTTGGAGCAGGAAACCTGCCTGCTCTGTTAAGGTTACTATCGCTGTCAGTGAAAAAAAGGTGTTTCCTAGCTGAAAGTAAACTGCAAAATACGGGAATTTATTTCATGCTTATCTTCTATTATACTGAGCATATCCTGGTCCCCCAATGATGTTTTATATTCCTTGTTTCAAGGGCAGGCGCTGCTGACTTTCAGACTATTACTGATACTGCAATAAGCTGAAGCCTGAGCCATGGTGTTGGTGACAACAGCTGAGGGAAGGGAGTGTTTTTATTTATTCAGCGAGTCAGTTGTTCCCATCCAGTTCCTGGATCATTCATGGTGAAATCGTCTCCTTCCTTGCCCAAAATTTGCTAGATCTTCCAACAGAAAGAAGGTGTGTTTTCATATTCAAGTCTGTGACATTTAAGGACACACAACAAACAAAAACTAATCAAGGAACTTTTCAAGTTGTCTCTTGCAAACAGAGAATTCATAAAAGAGAAAGAAACAAACAGTATTGCCTTGCAGTTTATTTGTAACTGGATAGTCCTATGAAAAGGACTTGCTTTTAGTTTTATCAAGTTCTGAATTTTTATAAACTTCTTTCTTCTAATGGTGGGGTTTTTTTCTGTCATACCAATGTTTTGCACCTGTATTTGGTAAGTTTAGTCCTGCTTGTTGCATCATAACATTTGCCTTCATTTTTTTACTGATCTTAGCTATATGTACTTGTGTGAAATTCAGCTGTGTGCTGTTGGGTAATCACAGTTTCAATGCTAATTTTGAAAAGCAGGCATTTCTGTCTGACTAGCAATGGCTTAGACCTAGAGGTCTCATACCCTGGTTCTGTGACACGGTAACACAGTAATGATGTGTGTGCAGGAGTGTGTTTGTGCTTTGTCAAAGGTCATTTTAGTTTCATCATGAGCATCGAGCGCCCTGTGATGCAGTCTGTCTTTGGCTGGTACATGTTTCTTCCACTTAACATGATATGAATAAAGAATGATTTCAGGTGTTAATACGAGATTATGGTACTTACAACTAGCAAAAAGCAGTAGTTCTTATTCCTGTCTGTATCACTCTTTCTTTTGAGTTTCAGAAGTGCTGTTCCAAGTTCTTGCTCTGAGTCCAGAAGTCTGGCCCAAATGCTTCAAAATCTGGCTGGCTCTAAAATCTGAGACAATAGTTTTTATGTCAGTTCACTTTCCTTCCCTGTGTCTGTAAGTGCACCAGCCCATTTGGGGTTTTATTGATCAGCTACGTGAGGGGTTGGCTGTGTACAATGTCTACCGTGCGCTTTCCTGTTACTACTTGTTACAGGCACGGTCAGGTGTATGTGCGGGTATTTCCCTCATGAGCACTTCCCTGTGTGCCAAAGGGGAAACAGACTGATCTGTTGATCTGTATCTTCTGTGGGAGCAGGTTCCGAGTTATTTTGGTCGTGCATGTAAACATGAGAGGGAGTTGTGTTGTGTGACAGGCCACCAGCATGTTCTGTCCAGTGGCTACAATGTCTCAGTAAGCTTTTTGAACAAACCTTCGTCTTGTGCACATGTTCACATTAGAGGTTTTTCCTCTCCCCTGTCCATACATGTAACCATGTCCTGTCATAACAAAATAAAAGAAATGCAAACAAGGCGTTGCATCAGAAATACATCTACTTTTTTCTGACCACAGTTAATAATTCTGTGCATACCTTAACAGTTAGTATTTTGGCTTGCTGTGTTGAGTAAACAAGATGTTGTAAACAAAACACGGTGTTCCAGTGGCGGTCATTTAGTAATGCGTTTTTCTGTCCTTCAGAGGGGTCTGTCTGACCCGCTTGTGCCATGAATTCTTCCCCCTCAGGAGTCTCTGCACCGCCGTGACCTTGGCTAAGGCTGTGTTATCTCTGCGTGACCGGAGAAGCGCTTGTAGCTCCCGGGTGTTGCTCCGGGGGCTGCCGTGGTGGGGCAGCAGCGCGAGCGCTCCCCACACCTCACCGGGCCCCGCCGGCCTGAGGCGGCTCCGGGACAACCGACGTGGGCCAGAGGGCGCCTCAAATGCCCTCTTCCTCCTCAGCGCCAGCAATAATAAAGTCATCAATTGCAATTTAGAACGACAGTAAATAATCGACACTAGCGGCGAAAGTAACCGATTAAAACTTAAAACGACAATAAATAATCGACGCTAGACGCGAACTGCGCACGGAGGAACCGCTGAGGCGGCCGTGGCTGAGGCGCCCCACAAGGGGGCGCTGTCGGCGCCGGCCGCCGCTCTGTCACGCCGTCTCGATGGTCCCCGCTTCCCCCTGGTGGCGCGGCCAGTGCGGCGGCGCATCTGCACCACCGTCTCTATAGTAACTCCCTCCCGCCCGCCCGCCCTCCGCGCGGTCACGTGCGTCGGGCGGCGCGCGGGTCTCGCGAGAGCGGCGTCGCGGGGCGTGGCGGCGGTGCCGCTGTCAGCGCGATGAGGCGGCGCCGCCGGGGCTCCCGCCGCTGCCTCCGCCGGGCCGCGCGCCCGCCCCATGGCGCGTGAGGCCGGCACCGCCCGACCGCGCTCCGGCCGCCGCCCCCGCCCAGCAGGTACGGACCGCACCGTACGGGTCGAATCGGGCTGGGCGGGGGCGGCCGCCGCGGGGGACGCGCTGACCCGCCGGGGCCCCGCCCCCCCCCCCCC